AACTTAAGAAGAGGAGACACGATAATCCGAGCTTTGCAGCTCGTTTTCATAGTTGTTGACAATCGGTAACTATGAAAACGAGTCGCAAGGCTCGAATAATCGTGTCTCCTCTTTCCAAATCGCCCATTTTTGTGTGCAATCTGAGCGTCAATTGAGCCGTTTATTTTGAAAATGGCATAAGTCACTTTGTTTTTAAGTCGATATATTCAAGGGTTTGCGTTTTAACACGTTTCAAAATATGGATGCTGACTTTCGAGAAGATTTACTTGTATGTGTTATCTCAGGATACTGATATTTTTCTTAGTATAAATAATTTCGTATAAACATTAAAAAATCACCACTTTTCGTTACGGTAAAGCGACTTATGCCACTTTCAAAATAAACAGCTGAATTAGGGAGAATTTACTGGATTCCATGTTCAGTCAATTTATTATATGATCGGGTCAAGGGTAGAGTAATGGAACAGGTTACTGTAATTCTTGCCGAAATTAATCTGTTGTTTACAACCCTGTTTCCTTAGGACATAATGAAAACGTTGACTTTATTCTCGACAGACTTCCAGTGTAATTTTTGAAGACACTTGCGACTTCTACAGGCTCTCATAATCTTTGGCTCCCGTAATACTTCTAACGACTGAATTCTTACTGGATCGTTGAGAATCTTCTGTAGACTCCGAGGAACTTCAGAGAAAATAAAAAAGTTCCTAAAGTTCCTTGGACCCGTGACGGACCAGGATTCTACTACAGAATTTTTAGAGAATTTCTTCAGGAGGTTCTTCAGGATCGTTGTGACGTCTCGATGGGCTTAAGTAGATTATGTTGTATACTGGAAGATCATCCCTAAATTTTCTAGACGCTTAGAGGCCGTCAAAGTTGTCCACGGATTCTCATAAAACATTCATGGACGCTATAGGATTCTGCGTATATTTCAGATAATATTCGGGACCTTGAAAGTGTCCTGGAAAATGAACCGAAATACTTGGTGGACGTTGCTAGATCCTAACGAAACCCAGAAGACTTCGCAGTCTTTAGCAATTACACTCTGAGAAAGTCATAAGACTTTCTGGGACTATGAGAGTAGATTAGATCCTACCAAATTTCTCGAGTCTCTTCGTAGCCTTCAGCGATTATGAAATTTCTTTGTAAAGAATAAAGAAAATTTAAAAATGTCGTCGACGGATTCTGGTACATCCTAGCAGATATTACGGGGCTTTTTATAGACACCGTCGATTATACAATTTCTACAGAGNATAATCGTGTCTCCTCTTTCCAAATCGCCCATTTTTGTGTGCAATCTGAGCGTCAATTGAGCCGTTTATTTTGAAAATGGCATAAGTCACTTTGTTTTTAAGTCGATATATTCAAGGGTTTGCGTTTTAACACGTTTCAAAATATGGATGCTGACTTTCGAGAAGATTTACTTGTATGTGTTATCTCAGGATACTGATATTTTTCTTAGTATAAATAATTTCGTATAAACATTAAAAAATCACCACTTTTCGTTACGGTAAAGCGACTTATGCCACTTTCAAAATAAACAGCTGAATTAGGGAGAATTTACTGGATTCCATGTTCAGTCAATTTATTATATGATCGGGTCAAGGGTAGAGTAATGGAACAGGTTACTGTAATTCTTGCCGAAATTAATCTGTTGTTTACAACCCTGTTTCCTTAGGACATAATGAAAACGTTGACTTTATTCTCGACAGACTTCCAGTGTAATTTTTGAAGACACTTGCGACTTCTACAGGCTCTCATAATCTTTGGCTCCCGTAATACTTCTAACGACTGAATTCTTACTGGATCGTTGAGAATCTTCTGTAGACTCCGAGGAACTTCAGAGAAAATAAAAAAGTTCCTAAAGTTCCTTGGACCCGTGACGGACCAGGATTCTACTACAGAATTTTTAGAGAATTTCTTCAGGAGGTTCTTCAGGATCGTTGTGACGTCTCGATGGGCTTAAGTAGATTATGTTGTATACTGGAAGATCATCCCTAAATTTTCTAGACGCTTAGAGGCCGTCAAAGTTGTCCACGGATTCTCATAAAACATTCATGGACGCTATAGGATTCTGCGTATATTTCAGATAATATTCGGGACCTTGAAAGTGTCCTGGAAAATGAACCGAAATACTTGGTGGACGTTGCTAGATCCTAACGAAACCCAGAAGACTTCGCAGTCTTTAGCAATTACACTCTGAGAAAGTCATAAGACTTTCTGGGACTATGAGAGTAGATTAGATCCTACCAAATTTCTCGAGTCTCTTCGTAGCCTTCAGCGATTATGAAATTTCTTTGTAAAGAATAAAGAAAATTTAAAAATGTCGTCGACGGATTCTGGTACATCCTAGCAGATATTACGGGGCTTTTTATAGACACCGTCGATTATACAATTTCTACAGAGGCCATAAGGATTTCTGGGAGTCGGACGAGACTCCCCTGAGCGCCGTAAAATGTCTGCCAGGACTCCGATACTACCGAATACCTCGGCAGGATCTCAGAAGCGCGCCGAGGACTGCGAAGGAGCCTCGGCCGTCTTCCTCAGGATCCCCGGGTACTTTACGGATCCTTTAGACGCTCTGAATGATCTATGGAATTCATGAACAAGCTAAGAGGATCTCCGAAGACCTTGAAAAGCCACCGCCGACTACGCGTTTCAGCGACACCCTTTACATTCCAACCTAATCCTCGTTCCATCACACTATTCAACGCGCCATCATCCCGTTCACGATTTCCTCGGCGAGCGTTCCCGGGTAAACTCGCGTTCAGGTGTAAACTATTTTTATCCGGCGTGTTCAAAGGGACGACTGTGAAAGACCGCAGGAGGGTTGTCCGGCGGACAAGCGAGGCTGAAAACGGTCTGAAAGCGTGGCGCATCGATCCCGTTCGCCGTTTAATGTGTCACGCAACTTCGCCACTGCGTGCGACGCTGGAAGAACACAAACAAACGGAGAGACACGGACAGAGGCTGCCGCGCGACCGCGATTCGCGGCCTCTTCGATTTCTTATCGGTTCTCAACGTTTCTCGAACCGTGCCAGCGCGTTTCCAGCTTTTAACGAGCTCTGTCCTTCTTTGTTCTAACCGGGAACAAAGGACTCGGAAAATTGTTAGAAAGTACCCGGAATTTGTCATTACGAAGTTCCGTGGCACATGTATCGAAACAATATTTTGTATGCAAGTAGGTACACTAAATACTCTCTAATCGACGCTCAGTTTGGAAATAAATATGGACAATTTGGGAAGAGGAGGTACAATTATTCCAGCCTCGATTTTCGAGTTACTGACAATCGGTAACTATAAAACCGAGTCGCAAGGCTTAAATCATTTTTGTCCATTCATTTCAGTCCATTTTTGCGAACAAGCTGAACGTCAATTAGGGAGAATTTACTGTTCCATCTGAACTCAGTTGGGACTCTGAGTTCGATCGCGATCCATCTACCAGTTTTAGTATCTACTCATGTTGCTTACAATGGCCCGCAAAAGTGTACGTACTCGTTTTGACCCAGTTCACTAGACGATGACTAAAAGCTTTTTTTTCAAACTTTAATATTACTTGGAATGAAAAGAAAAAATTAAAAACCCTCGATTTTTAAGTTTTTTATCTGAGCCTAAACGAAAATTTTAAAAAATACCTTTCGTAGATCTCGGAAACTTGTATGCATGCTGAAAATTTGATTGAAATTGATCAATCCAGAGTCGAGCTTTAGGATTTTTAAAACTACAGATTTCTTACAGTTTTTCGTCGAAATCCTGATAAAACTACGATTTTTGCGATATTTAATTTGTTGTAACTCATAACAACGTGAACTGATTTCGATAAAATTTTCAGCATGCATATAAGTTACTGAGAGTTACATACGACTTACATATTACTTACTTTTTATAAATTTTGGTTATAGGCTCAGATATTAAAGATAAAAAACGAGAGATTTTTATCTTCTTGTCATTCCAAGTAATTGCAAAATTAAAAAAAAAATCATTTCAGTCATCGTCTAGTAGACCCGCCCCTCAATTATTTAAAAAAATTTGAGTCGTTTAGTTCAGTTTTAAAATAGTTATTGTGTGTGCGTTTTGAAAGGTGTACGAACACTTTTGTGGGCCACTGCAGAATTCGAAAATGAATTTCAAGTGGATCCGAACGATCTACCGAAAACCATTAACAAATTGACTGCTATGGTGGTCCCCCGTGTTCAGAGCTTGTCTTCTTAACGGGGCCTACTTATTATTTAATTCAATTTTAATCAAAAGATCAAAAAAATTTTAAACAACGTAGACGAATAGAGAACATTGTGCACTGTATATTTTGTTACGATTTTCACAGAAGGCGAACACAAAAGTTATTAAAGTATGACAGTATTCAGTTGGTCGAGAATTATCGTGATATCAAACTCTTTCGTGCTAAGTAATATTTAACTCCTTTGGCTGGTTGCATTTCCTCAGAATAGTTACAAACAACTCGAACGTAATTATTCATGAAGCAGTGATAAATGAAATGAAATATCTGAATGTTCATTGACTGAATTTCAGTGTTAACTGTACTCGAAATACAAGAAATTTTATTTACGCTACTTGGTCATACTAGGGGAAGCAACAACATTTAGAGCAGCAACTTTGTTCCAAGATGCATTTATACAATATTAATTCAAGGTGACGTAACTCGAAAAGAATTGTAATAATACTCATGGTAAAATGCAGTTCTTTTATACAAAGAATCTAAGCAAAGCCGTATTTAAACTCTGAAGCAGATAGGAGAAGACTAAAAAAAGATTAGAAAAAGTAGCCTAAACCAGAAACGACAACTCAAACCAGCCTGCGGAGGCTTCGTCGACTTGTCGAAGTGTAATTCGATCTCAGCGAATGATGAACCCGTGCCTCTAATTTTTTGGCAGTACAATACAACTGCATTTTTGTGTCCATTGTAACCATGCCATGTCCATAAACATCGAGCTATTATCAAGTTTTTCTTCAGATTCCCGAAGCGATAAAGCGGAAGGTACTCACGGTCCGGTTGGTCGCAGCAACGCGCGATCATCTCGGTCCCGTTTTCTTGCGACACCGGGCGGAGAGAACTCGCGTTCGCTTGAACACGATAAGCACCCGATTATGCCACGCTCATAACTCAACCGGAAAGTAATTCTTCTTTTTTCGGTACGTGCCGCGAGCTCGTAAATTTCATAAACGTGTTAGGCAAGAAACCAGTCCCGCGCACTCGGTCGTCCGAGGACACCGTTCACGATCGAACGAAGACACACGAATGTTTGCTCGATGTTTACTATTTTTGATACAGCAACAGCACACGGCGATGTCAACTCAAGTGTCACCGATCAGAATTCATGAATATACTTGGTCGGATAAAGGTGGATGAATATCTGCATATGTCGCTTTCGCTTACAGTGGGCCACAAAAGTGTTCGTACACCTTTCAAAACGTAACAACTTTTTTCAAACTCAACTAAGTGACTTGAATTTCTTTTAGATGTTAGAGAGACTGGTGTAATAGACGATTGCTAAAATGCCTTTTTCAAATTTCGCTATTACGTGGAATAACAAAAAAAAGACAACAAAAATAAAAAGACTCGTTTTTAACTCTTGTTTTTCTAAACCTATAACAAAAATTTTAAAAACGCCTCTCGTAGATTACGGTAATTTATATGCATGCTGAAAATTGTATCGAAATCAGTATATAGCTGGAAAAGAATATTTAATAAAAATGTAAACATATTAACATAAAAACATAAAATAAAACACATAGGCTCGATTACAAAGTCTTGTCACTTCTTGTCTAGACAATGATGTATAAATTGTGGATGCCCAAAAATGAGTACTCTGAATAGATTTCGAATGTTTATGCGTTTCTGACATGCAGGAATTTTTCAAATGCAAGAGAACGTGTAAATTAATAAGGTTGAATAGTATTTTCAGTTTCGCTTTTCAGAAGAGAAACTTCTCTTTCACTTTCTCTTTCTCTTTTAATTAATCTTTTAGTTGACGAATGAAACTTTTATCGAGGTCGAACTTTCATAAAATGACGTAGGAAAATGAGAACTTACACAAAAATTTGCGGTCTAGCTATTGATAATTCGAATGTTATCAACGCCGTTCTGACAGCAGAGTATCGAAGAACAATATTATCAAATAAATTGAATAGTATTCGCATACATATTAATTCAACAAGTTGTGTGTAATATGTTTTGTTGTACACATTTTGTACGAGAGTTCTGTAGTATATAATTTGAAGATGTTTTTCGTGTATAATTTGGACACGCTTTTCTGAATCTTCCCAAGAAAACAGCAAGAATTTGTCCCGCCTGATATTTTGTTTAAGCCTTCTGGCTTCCGCAGAATTATTTTGCGAGAGGAGCTGCCCTTAACTGTAATATTTGCCCGTAATCTCGCTAATAGCGTTCATCCGCGTCTAGACCAGGGCGCCGCGAGCCTGTAAGAATCTCGTCTGGGTCGCGTAATTGTAAAGATTATTCGATATTTTCCCTCCCCCGGGGGGCACGTGCCCGCGAACGGAAATGATAATAATTATTGTTACGCTGCGCTGCTAGTCACGACCCTCTTCTTTTCGCGCGACCGTCGCCGCCGCAGCCGCCGCTGCAGATATTCTCATTAAATTTTATCTTCTCGCCGTCCGACTTTTCCACCCGGTATTTACTGTAATGTCCTCGATGTATCGTAACGTCTGAATCTACTCTGGTGGGCTGGGACAGCGGAACTTTCTTTAAAGGTACATAATTCCGATCCACTGGGTCTTCGGACAGAAACAACGAACCCACCGCATCGCATCGCGCCGCGCCGCGGAGAATCGACGCTGGAACTTTCGAGATAGAGTGGCCGACTTGACCGACTACTCGCCGAACTAAAGTTGCTCCTTTATTTGTGAAGTTCATTGTCCGACCCATTAAGCACTTGCAATAGGCGTATAAATAGAAAAGAAGTTGGGAAATCGTAAAACTATCAAGCAGAAGTTAAAGAACGGAAAATAGCTTCCAGTACACAATGACTGGACTGCCGATTTGATGCCTTGTGTGACAAAACTGAATTGATCGAATGCAGAGCAATTGCAACATTTAAAGAATTTCAAAATACTGTTGCACTGTGTTCAACTTGATCAAGTGATTGTAGAAAGAAATTTCTACGTATCTACCTTGCAATTAATGCAGACAATTTTTATTTTGCAGAACGATCAGCAGTGTAGGAATGACTTATTCAAGTGAGTTGATTGACAATTTATAATAAATTGATAATGTTTATTTCAGTAACAGACTTGTCGAAGTTTCGAACGATTTATCCACGGTGTAAAACAAATTAAAATTGGCGATGCAAATTTCTGGAAAGAAGAATTCCTTTAAAATCAATCTTTGACCTTTCTTTTTAATCGTGTCGACCATCGGCGAAAACGTTGCTTCTAGAGAATCATCTACTTCGAAGGTGTTATAACTGAGGACATGATTTTACATACATACTAACAGAAATCTGATTTTTCAGCGGCATTTCCCAAGAGTCGAATCACGAGTTTCAGCAAAGAGATGTCAATCTTCTTCGCCGGAAAAAATGTAATCTACCGCTTGGAGAATTTATGTGGGTGGAGGCGAAGCAATTTGACCGCGAATGGCTTTTTCGAATGTTCGCTTCTTGGTCGGCTCGCGTAGCCCCGTTTCCCGCCTAATTTCTCAAATTCCGGCGTCCGGCAATTGGTTAATTTTGTTCGCGGGAGTAATTAGAACAGTGGCGCGCACGCGAGTGTGCAGAAATGCTCAAATTCGTCGAAGTAAAATCGAGGCAAACAGCCGTGGCGGTTGTGATTAAAGTTAAACTGACAGTTTCCTGCGGCGTCCGTGAAATGGGATTGCGCGCACGGTCTCGCAATTAAACGCACGTGAATACAAAGTAAACCTGGCAGTCTTGTAAACGTCGTTACCCAGAATTCATCCGCTGTCGAATCGGTATTCGATATGATTCGTTCCATCGGGAATGGATATCCATTTATGCAAATACCAGTCGCTGGAGTAATTTCATCGGTCGGTGAATCGATTAACCGTTTCGATCCCCGTCTCTTTCAAAATTTATGCCGGCTCTCACTTTCTCCCCCCCCTCTCTCTCTCTTTCTCTCTCTTTCTCTTCCACTCTTTCCTTTCTGAGATTGCCTTTTGCCCGTTTATACCGTTCACAGTCTAATTATGCAATTATGTTTCATCTCTGGATATCGTCTTTTCATCGCAGACACCTTTGTGTCGCAATTCAAGCATTTATTAATAAACACAAGTATAATTAGACTGCGGATTTTAACGTAAAATAAAAATTGTCTGCGTTAATTGCAAAAGACAGAAGTCAAGTAGGAGCGTATTTCTTCTTTTTATAGTTTTCATAATTTCGAAGCAATTTAGCGATTTTCTTAAGTTCGACTTCACCGCTCTGTATTTCGCTTGCTCACTTTTGCCATAAATGCATAATATCAGCAGTCTATTTATGACTGACTTTTAAACGGAGTTGGGCAGGAAGCAATCCGATTAATGATTAACGATTATGATTATGATTATTTATTATAACTAATCCATAATAATTTATAATAACTAATGCGATACAATTACAAATCATTAATCAGATTGCTTTTTAATTATAAAGGTTTACAGCAGTACTGGTGATGATGAATTTTATGTTTATATATATAACAAATTTTTATATTTATTTATTCACTTTTTATATTTATATTTACTTATATTATNTATTTCTTCTTTTTATAGTTTTCATAATTTCGAAGCAATTTAGCGATTTTCTTAAGTTCGACTTCACCGCTCTGTATTTCGCTTGCTCACTTTTGCCATAAATGCATAATATCAGCAGTCTATTTATGACTGACTTTTAAACGGAGTTGGGCAGGAAGCAATCCGATTAATGATTAATGACTATGATTATGATTAGTTATTATAACTAATCCATAATAATTTATAATAACTAATGCGATACAATTACAAATCATTAATCAGATTGCTTTTTAATTATAAAGGTTTACAGCAGTACTGGTGATGATGAATTTTATGTTTATATATATAACAAATTTTTATATTTATTTATTCACTTTTTATATTTATATTTACTTATATTATGATTAAATATATATTATTTATATATTTATTCTATATTTATATTTATTTATCTTATAAAAAAATATATATATATATATATATATATATATATATATATATATATATTTATATTAATATTTACTTATTTATTTTATATTTATACATATAACAAACTTTTGATTCGATTTTCTTACTTAGTTTCCAAAAACAAGAATCTCTCCATGAAAATGGAAAAAACCTATTTATTATACGTAAAGGTTGGAGTAAGAGAGGTTCTAGATTAAGCCAGATGCGGTACCAATTTAATTCGTCAATGCAATTTCTTTGATAAAGGAAAGACGATCATTGAGATGAAAATTTCTAAAATAGCTTTTAAAATTGAATCTGTACGAAGATGCACAGTTTAGCAAGTTACGCGAGCGAGCTATACGAAGATTCGAGAAGCGGTTATTTAGAAACTTCATTTTGAAAATTAAATAGACGCAGCACCAATTTACTTTGCCAATGTAATCATTTTTCACGAACGAAAGACGATCATTCGGTTGAAAATGTCCCAAAACAGTATCTAAACATATGAAGCTTTATTTCATATTAATTGAAAAATATTTTGAAAGATAAATCAGTGCTGTGCGCATATAATTTACCTGCTAAAATTATGTAAACAGCACGCACGGATGAATATTCTTCTTTGTGCGAGAGGAAAAAAGCATGTTTACTGAAGCAGAGAGCTTCTACTGAATCGCAGGTTTCATTAACCGTCCCTTGGATCCCGAATTCGAACAAAAATTCCAAGTTTCGCTGCAACGCGTACAAGCCGTGGAAACGAAGGCACAAGAATAATTCATTCGAGTATTTTCCCTTGAAAATGAAATAGCTGTAGGACCATCAGCTCGGGAATAGTCTCCTTGAGACCCGGCACACGCATTGCAGCGCCAGGTTCATTGATCGTAACGTTTCCGGTACTCACTTTCTGGTGTCCGCTTTAATGGCGGCGTTACATTACTTTGAATTTCAGAAGCCGACTGGGAACGGGTTCGTTTCATAGCGAATAAAGCAAAGAAAGAAAGAAAGAAAGAA